GCCCCCGACGCCGTCGCGCGCGTTTCGATGCCCCCCCCCGCTTCCGCGCGGGGGGGGGGCGTCGGCAGAGTGGGGCCTGCAGTGGCTGCTTCTCTTTCTGGTCGCGTGCCGGCTGACAGTTTGGCGCGCGTGTCTGCGGGCGCCCGCGCGCCCAGATGCATTTCCAGCAGTATGTCCGAGATGGGCGTGTCGGCTCGCGAAGAGTCCTCGGCCCCCTGCGGCGTTGAAGCTGGCCCCGGAGGGGGGCCGCCCCCCCGCGACTTCGCGCGTCGTGCGCGCGGCGTTCTTGCTGGCAGCGCGGTGGGTGGGCCCTCGGGTGGGCATATTTCCAGAGGTGACCCCAGCTGCGTATCCTGCGGGATAGGGCCCTCTGCTCGCGAGTCGTCGGGCGTCCCCCCGACGCATTGCAGCAGCATGTCCAACGGTCGCGGGCCAGCTCCCGAGAGGTCTCGCCCCCCCCCCCCCTGGCAGCGCCCGCGCCGACGGCGGATCGGGGCCGCCGCCTTGTGACCCCACGCATCGCTCCAGCGCGCGCTCTGACAGCTTGGTGGGTGATTCAACGGGTGTGCTTTTTCCAGAGGTACGTCCAGCGGCTTTGCCTACGCCCCACGCGCGCGCGTGTGCGCGCGCGTGCGCGGGGGCCCTCTGCTCGCGAGCTGGCCCCATTCCTCCTTTGTCTCTACAGGCCTGCAGGAGGGCATGGAGGTCAACTGGCTACGCGACCGAGCGACATGGCACAGTCTCATATAGCAAGCACCAGAGGCCGGCGAGGGCGGGAGGGGGATCCTGGAAAGTGCCAGTGCTTGTTTCTACTTTGCCAGCGATTCGTCCTGGGGGCGCAAAGCCTGGGGCCACCAGGGCCAGGAGGCGGGCGACTTCGCCGACGCGACGCCGCCCTCGCAGCAGAACGCCGCGCGCACAGCCCGCAGCGCGCCCAGGCGACCGTGAGGTTTGGAAAGCGCGGCCGGTCGGTCGCTCTGCAGGCGGCACAGGGGGCGCCTCGCGGGGGCGCCCATGTACGTATGCTCGTGGGCCATGACGAGGAAGCGGCTCCAACGTGTTGTTCCTTTCCCAAAGACCAGACGAGCCGTTCAGGGGGGCGCCCAGCGGGCCCGAGCGGCCAGCGGACCAGCCAGACGGCCCGCGCGCGAGACGTGGGCGCGACCAGGGCCACCATTCACTTCGTCGCGGGCTCGGGCACGCAGGGGGAAGTTGCCACCGCCCAGGCCGAGGCAGCAGGGCGCGTTCGCGGGCGGGACAAGCCCTTCGTCATCGCAGAGGGCTGGAACATGGCGGCCGAGGAAGTGGCGGAGAGCGACGCCCGCACCTTTTGGCGCGGCACCTTTCGGGCCCCACCAGGAGACGCACCTGGCGGTGCCAGGGGCATTGATTTTCGTATAGTTTCAGAAGCCTTGAGCCCAAACCTTCGAACTCCGCCTGGGCCCGCTTCCTTTTCGAGCTCTCCCAAGCGCGGGGATCTTCGGGGCTGTAGACCTGTCGGAGGCTCGAGCAGCTTCACTGGGTCTTCATTCAGCCTCCCGCCCTCCTGCCTGCCACGGGGCCCGACAGCCCTCGGGAATTCCACGAGGCTGGGATCGCCGGGCCCCCGGGGGCAGTGGCGGGCCCTTGTCCGGCGTCGGAATCGCTCGACGCAAACAGAGATAGCTCGATCAGTTTTGACGCAGCCAAGGCGCTCGCAGGTTTTCACATTGCTCTGCAGGGGATGCCTTCGGTTGGGTGCAAGCCGCAGGGGTGGTTGGCTGACGCCCCGAGCTTCTCTAGCCTTCCACGCGCGCCTGAGCGCCTGGCTTGGGCCCTCCAAGAAGGGGGTGCCTCTAGCCCCAGCGGTTTCAGCTGCTCCGGCAAGTCAGGGGCGCGTCGGGCGCGCCCCGAGGCTCTCAGGAGATCCGCGGGACGAGCAGCTGCTTGTTTAACTGGAAGGTCTAGCTCTCAGAGGTCGAGGGTGCATATGCGGTGGAACTGGTGTGCTCTGCATTTGGAGCAAAATTGATGAAGTCCGCTCGCATCATGACCAATGTTGCCGCGCTCGAGGAGCTGGAATGCCGCTGCCCACGAGACCGCGTCCACGGGGAGCGTCGAGGACGGGGTCAGCATGGGCAACTGTGGACACGACTGGCGGCAGCGTGCCCAGCTCGTCTGCGCAGCGCGCATGCCTCTTGCACGGTCAAAGCCGCGGCGAACAGAGAGCGCCCGCTGCGCGATTGGCGCGCGCGGGAGATTCGGCTTCCGCCGCAGAGACCGAATGCAGTGATGAGTCATTGGGCAAAGATATCAAGATGGCACTTGTCGTCGAAAGGTGTCTCGACATATCAGGACCACATTAAGGTGAAGGAGCTGCGGGCGGTTTTGGCAGTGGCCTGACACCTGTGCCGCTCGCCAAGACATGTGTTCAATCGATGTTTGATATTGTGCGATTCCATGGCGACAGCTGGCGCAGTTCGAAAGATGTGGAGCTCTTCTCGACCTGATGACGCAGCAG